ACCTGCACACTGACAAGGATGTTTCTTCCAGGAATGTTCTGCTGGGTGCCAAGCTTGTGTTGCCCTTATGGGCTGTGAGAAGCTAATCCGTGAGATGGAATAAAGCATGGTCTTGTATCTAAACCACACATCCTACAGAATCCAGGACACAGCATTTGCTGAAAGGCAAGGATGACCATGAAGACCCAGTCACCACGTTTCCCAAGGACCCGGGGAGAAAAGCTATGTGAAGCCACTGTGTAAACACAAGCCTGCTTTCCAGATACGAGTTTCCAAAGGTCTGGTGAACTCTCTTTTCCATGTGGCCTATATTTAGGGTCACTATGGGTAGATTTGTGGACAGGGGGAGCTTGTGACCAACAGGGAGTGCTGTTTAGTGGTTAGGAGGCTCCAGAATCTGGCACATTGCCTGGGTTCAAACCCCGGTGGTGCTGAGTTTTGTTGTTATAATAGGCTAGCTGCTCTGTTTCTCTGGGGCTCAGTTGCCTCATCTATAGAATGGGGGTAATAATATCTACTTCACATGGTTGTTGTAAGGATTCAATAAAATAATTCTTAGGAAGCACTTAGAACAAATGTTTGGCATCGAGTAAGCTTTCAATGAATGTTGACTATTTTCACTAGTGTTATCAGCAATATTATAGTCACCAATGACGAAAGGATCTCTGCATGGATGGGTTGCACAAACTCAAGCTACATGGACTTCATATGGAAAGGAATTTAGTTGTTTTAGGGAAACAAATTAGTTTCTCAAGTGTAGCCACCTTGAAAGCTGGGTAGACATGACTTGAGGCTTCGTGGTAAAGTGGTGAAACTGCCTTCACACAAAATCCCTCCCAGACAGGCAATTTCATACTCTGTAAACAGAGGTTTTGACTGAAGATCAGAAATACAGACACCATTTGTCTTTGTCAGTTCAGGCTGCTACAACAGAATACCATATACTGGGTGGTTTAAACAACAAACGCTTGTTTCTCACATTTTTGGAAGCTGAGAAGTCCAAGATCAAGGCACCAGCAGATCCAGTATCTGGTGAGGGTCCTCTTCCTAGAGAGAAGACAGATGGCTGTCTTTTCTCTGTGTCCTCAAATGACTCTAGTCTCTTTTTCTTCTTGTAAGGTCACTAATCCCATCATGGGAGCTCTGTCCTTATGACCTCATTTAAACCGAATCGCCCCCCCAAAGGCCCCACTTCCTAATATCATCCTGTTGGGAATTAGGGTTTCAACATACGAATTTTGGAGAATAGAAACATGCAGTCCATATACCATTTAACTGACCACACTTACTCCAGCCTTCTAGAAATTAACTCCCCATCCGCTGAGCTCCCTAAATAAGTCTTATGTTATGAGTTTTATATGTCTAAGAAATTTGCATGCCTTTTTCTTTAACTTTTAAAGGCTGAGGGGTCATTTTCCAGCATTTTCCCCTGGACCTAGGTGTAGGGCAACCTTATGGCTTACCTGGCCCTGCTCCTCACCTTTAGGGTAACCCTTCCTTCTCCCTGGCAGCCTCAGGCCAGGGTGTGGCTCTCCAGCTTCCTTTCCATTGACATTGAAGGTAAATCTTCCATGGATTTTGGATCCACACCATGTGGCTGCTGTGAGGTTTCTGGGTTTGTTCTGGGAGAACTGAGATGGGTTGTGTTTCAATTTACAGGTATAAACCAGGGGACTGGCAAGAGACTCGCATGCTCTCTACAGGCAGTTAGCAAAATAAGATTAGGGAAGTAGCCAGAGAATTCAAGACAGAACTCTTAGCTGTTTTTGTCGTGCTGTCTCCATGTTTGATAGTTTTAGATGCAATCACTGTTTAACTGACCAGTCAACATTGTGGCCTCAATTTTGTGCATCAGTTTCTTGATCATGACTTCAAACTGTGAATTAAATGAGAACAAGTGATTTTTTTTTTTTTTTGCTTGTTCACATTCTCTATTTTCAAAAAAGGATCTATTTTAAGGTGGCTAATTTATCCATGTAGAGCTCCAAATGAAAATGGCAATGGAAAACTTTACTTTGATACTGGGATATGGCCATCTGTTTGAATGTTTGCCTTTATGAATCAAAGCAAGCAGTTGATTGCAGTTGATTGACTGGACTATTTTTTTTTTTTCCAACTACTTGTGAGGCTCTAGAAACACCGCCTAAGGCCTTTGGCGGAGGATGGAGCCTGTGTGTGCACGTGTGCATGGGTGTGCGTGTGTGTGTAGAGAGTGGTGTGTGAACAAGCACTGGTGAAACAGACAATAAGAAAGCAGAAGTGCTGAGTGTCTGCTCTGTGCTATATGCTTTATTGCATACAGCCCTTGTAACAAACCAAGGAGGCAGATATTATTTGCATTGCATATGAGGAAACTGAGGTCAAGGAAGGCGAGATCGTTTGTTGAAGCTCCAGTGTCAACTAGGAGGAGGCCCTGTGGCTCCAAATCAGTCCGTCTGACTCTAAAGGCTGAGCTCTTCTCACTCTGAGGAGGGAGGTGGCAGAAAGAGAGGAAGAAAGCCAGAGGAGGTAGAAATATGGAGAGAAAGGGAGAGAATACCACAGGGATAGGGGCTAAAAATCCTGGAAATACGCATAATGAAGTCTGAAGTCTGAGCCATGGTGCTAAGTCTGCCCCTGACTGTACATCTGACTTTAAAGTCTTTAAGTTGGCTCTCTCCGCATCCCCACGCCCCATCCTTCCCATCCTCCCTTTCTCATTTTACCTGGTGGAGGCCTGACCTAACATCATGATGCTGGAGTCCGGATCTCCTCCATCTGTAACTGGGATCCCTCAGTGGTGGTGGGGAGGCCAGGACCCTGCTTAGGGGCCACTGCCTGGGCAGGAGGAAACTCCTTCAGCCTCTGTCCTGAGCTGGGTCACCTGTGGGAGGGTACCCAGGGCCCAAACGTGAAGGAGGGCTGGCGCAGCTTCTTGGCCCAGGGCTGACCACTCTCAGCATCTCAGGCCGGCAGCCACTGAGCACCATCTGCCTCATTTCCTGTGCTTCCCCCTAGTGAGTGGCGGCTTGGACTCCTGGCCACAGGCAGTTCTCCTGAACAGGTCACCAGGGCTCAGGACGAGTCATCCAGATGCAGCTGTGACAATGTGGCTTTCATCTTCATCACAGTTGACCCCGTGGGAGGAAAGTCCCCTTTCTCCCGCTTCAGCCCACATTTCTCTTCCCAGAGCAGCAAACTGTCACCCAGGAGGGGCTGCCACTTCCCTGGTCTTGGGAACCTCTGCGGAACCTCCTTTCCTGAGCACTCCTGAGTGAAGAGCCAAGCCAGGGTAAGCCTGTGCTTATAAGGCCTCAATTTTAGATTAGATTCCCAAATTTAATTTCCTATTCCTTAATTTAATTCTGCATTTTAGTTTTGTTTTTATTATTTACATGGATTCCCTTTAATGATTCCAAATTGCTGCTGCCCTCTAGCAGTATTTTGTCTTAGGTTAACTTCTTGAAAACCGATCAGCATTGCAGTTTATTCCGCACTGGGTTTCGTTATTTTCTGAAACGAAGCACAATTAAATTAGAATAATGAACATGCTCTTTAGAGGATTAATTCATAATAAGCAGGCCATGTGCTACAGCTCACAGAAGAAAGGGCACAAGGATTGAAAGCTGTTTTTCCTGCCTAAATATGAAAAGTACATTCTGCAGTGCAGAACAAATCAGCTAATGACATCCAGAGCGCTGGCCAGCCCCAGAGCGGCACAGAGCTGGCATCTTGAGTTAGCGCAATCCCTACCGACGCTGCTGCCTACCTTTACTCACCAAGAAGACTGGCAGCAGGCAGCTTGCCTGGCTCCTCTCTCCTCAGCACAGCTGATAGAAGCCACTGCGGGCCTCCTAAATTCTAACCCCAGGAAGCCCCTAAATTCTACCCCCAGCTTCACAAGCTTCATCCTCAGAATTTTCTACAGCCCATTCTTTCTTTCTTTCTTTCTTTCTTTCTTTCTTTCTTTCTTTCTTTCTTTCTTTCTTTCTTTCTTTCTTTCTTTCTAAGGAATGTTTTACTAGCTCCTGCTATATACCAGGAACCCATGGGATGGCCCACCCTTGGGACACATTAGTGAAGAAAACATACAAAGACCCCTGCCCTATTGGAAGTTATATTTGAGCAACTAGAGACAGATAATAAATGGTAAAAATAATAAGTAAATTGTGTATTATGTTAGAAGGTAATGAGTGCTAAGGAGTAAGGGGGGTTGAGAGTGGTGTGTGTGTGTGTGTGTGTGTGTGTGTGTGTGTGCGCGCCTGTGTGCTTTGCAATTTTAAATAGGATGGGTCATGGTAGGCTCATGGAAAAGGTTTCAACTGAGCAAAGACTTGAAGGAAGTGAGAAAGTGAGTCACTTTCAAGCATGTCACCCAGGTCAAGTGTGTTCCAGAAGAAACAAATATAGCAAAAGCCCTAAGGTAGGATTGTGACTGATGAGTTCAGGACGGATGGGGCCATGGGGTGCTGAATGGAGGGAGGGAGTGGGAGATGAGGGGGACCCCATCAAGTGGGGCCGTGGCTTTTGCTCTGAGAGAACTGAAAGTCAGGGCAGGGTTTTGAGCAGAGGCAGGATGTGGTTTGACTTTTACTAAAGGATCTCTGGCTGCTGACTGAGAATAGGCTTTATGGGGTCAGGTAGATGGAAAGATGGAAGATGGGAGACCTGTCAGAAGGCTCACAGCTTATGCCTCTGAAACTCCAGTCCCAGGTTTTCCCATACCATGTTCTCTGGGCCCCCAAAGTGCTGAGCTCAGGCCTCACAGCCAGGCACAGAGGCTTAGAGTCTCCTGCAGTCCTCTTCCTCCCAGAAGGACCAGAATATTGTTTTTTTAAACAGCTAGAGCTCGCACGCAGTGAGAATGTCCAGACCACATATTCCTCGATTGGCCCTGGAGACCCCTCTGCAGCCTCTCCCAAACCCTCCTACTGACCCATGGACCAGAAGGCTGGATTTTGCAATGGTAGATAACCTGCAGGCAGCAGACAGCTCTGCACTGTCCCTTTGGTTTTCCTCAGGCACCTCTGAGAGGGAGACACCCTCTCAGCCAAGTACTCAACATGAGAAGGCTTCTGCTGTGCAGCTGCCGGAGAAGCAGGGGATAGATCAAAGCAGGAGAGGACCAACATCTGTGGCAACCAAAGCAAGCGCAAGGTACAAACACATCAAATGAATAAATAAGCAGATGGATGATTGATGGGTGGGGGAATGAATGATTAGTGCATAAATGAATGATTGATGAATAAACAAATGTATGGCCTGGAGCTGTCTCCTGCTCCCTGCTCTTTGGGTGTCTTCTCTCCTGGGAACCAAAGACTAAAGATTCTCCCATGACCTTCACTTCTGAAATTCCCTGCTGGAGTTGGGATTACACCTGCTTCTGAGCCCAGAGGTGGGGGAGGCTTTGGCTTAGGATCAGTGGCCTGAGGCTGCAGGGGTGTGTTGGAGGAAGGAGGCTGGAAGCAATTGGAGTTGGGCTGGAAGACACCTGGGCAGCTTGCAGGTTTTGAGGGTGGAGAGCTCCAAGGATCTGGAAGGAGAGAAGGGTGTGTGGGGAAGAGGGGAAAGGAGTGGTTTGGTTTTTCCTTCCTGGTCCCACATTGGACATTCTGCAGATGCTGGGCCTTGGGTTGGTCTCATTCTAGGGCCTACTGAATATTATATATTCAAAATACATATTATATATATATATATAATTGATATGCTACACAGATATATAATATATGTAATATTCCAGAAATATAACTTCCTCTAATGCTGGTCCATGCATTCTCAATGCATGTCTCAGTGGAGCATTTGACTGTATTATCCCAACAGGCAGAAAGACTTTAGTAACTGAAGTTATCAGAAGCTTCCCCAAAAGGGACAGGCTGGCGAAGACGACAGCTCAGGCCTAAGCACTGGCACCATGCAGATGCTTGATGTGCCCCCACTTCCAGAAGCTTATCTCCCAGTGAGGCCAGATCCTTGTGCCTCTGGTGTAAAAGTTCCCTACTGGGGGAAGGTTTGAGGAAGCAATGTCTAAAGACCCTGGGTCACATGGCTCCACTCCATTTTGGAGGTGCGTCTTACCTCGGGATTCCCATAGAATCTAGTTTGGGGCCAAAAGACTGCTCCTAAAGAGTACATGTACACAGTCCACTTTATATTCTAGACTTTGATAATCATGATCAAAATGGCTTCCATTTATTGAGTGCTTACTAAGGGCTCGATGTTGGGTTAAGAGTTTTGGCTGGGCATGGTGGCTCATGCCTGTAATTCCAGCACTTTGGGAGGCCTAGTTGGGCAAATCACCTGAGGTCAGGAGTTCGAGACCAGCTTGGCCAACATGGTGAAACCCCTTCTCTACTAAAAATACAAAATTAGCCACACATGGTGGTGGGCACCTGTAATCCCAGCTACTCAAGAGGCTGAGGCAGGAGAATCTCTTGAACCTGGGAGGTAGAGGTTGCAGTGAGCCAAGATCATGCCACTGTACTCCAGCCTGGGTGACAAGGCAAGATGGATTAAAAGAGTTTTGCATTCTGACTGGCATGGTGGCTCATTTCTGTAATTCCAACACTTTGGGAGGCTGAGGCAGGTGGATCACCTGATGTCAGAAGTTTGAGACCAGCCTGGCCAACATAGTGAAATGCTGTCTCCACTGAAAATACAAAAAATAGCTGGGTGTGGTGGCAAGCGTCTATAATCCTGGCTACTTGGGAGGCTGAGGCAGGAGGATCGCTTGATCCCGGGAAGTGGAGGTTGCTGTGAGCTGAGATCACGCCACTGCACTCCAGCCTGAGTGACGGGGTGAGACTACATCTAAAAAAAAAAAAAAAAAAAAAATTGTATTCTTATGTCATTCAATTTTCTTATGAACCCTGGGATGTCCCTCATTTTACATATGAAACTGAGGCACAGAGAGGCTAAGTGACTTGCTGGTAAGTGGTAGAGCCAGAAGGATGATGGCCATTTGGAGTTGAAAACTGATGGGACTTTTCCTGAAGCCCTACTCTGGCAACTGTGCTGAACTTTCACTCCTCTAGCACAGAGATTCTTAACACTCTGGGGGCTACAGACCCCTTCATGCAAGTGATAAGAGTGTCCAGCCTCTTCCTCAAAAGTATACATTTTGCATTTTGCACAAGTGCATTTTCCAGGCAGTTTTGGGGGTCTATGCAGTCCTCCTGAACTCTGTTTTAGGAATTCACTTTCTGCAGTGACTGTTTTCCTTTCTCATAACCTTGAGGGCACAGGGCAACCCTCAGGGCCCTCAAAATCACCTCAGTAGGGAATGGAATCAGACAGGACAGGTTAATCAATGAAAGCTCACCTCCTGCTCTTTCCATAATTGCACCCCTGCTTTTTCATCCTAACAGCCAGCACTTAGGTTAATTACATTCCAGTAAGGCTCCCAGGTCTGGGGTCTCTGGAGTCTGCCCTGGAAACTGTTGACATGCCATCTGCTTCCAGAGGATTCTGGAGACCAAGACAGCCTTTTAAAATTCTTCATTGTTTTCTTTGCTATAAGAGAGATAAAGGACCCTGTAACAGATCTCGTCCAAAATCTTGCTTTCTTAACCCACCCACGTCAGCCCTGAAGCTATGGAGGATTCTTTGGTCCCAGGCTGTCTTTCTGAAGTCAAAACAGTGGCACCTATTATTCCAAGTCAATGACCTTTGGAAATACCTGGCTTGGAGTGAGGTGGCCACAAATTGACAGGGCTGGCTGGGTAGAACCAGCTCAGGGCTGGAGAATTAAAAGGCTTAGGAGCTCCATCAGGGGCTGGGTATTGTGCTGCCTCAAACACCACCAGCTTCAGTCATTTATTCATAAGATTTATTGGAACCTCCTAAAAGGGTATCTCCTCTGCAAAAAAAAAACCCCACAATGCAAGGAAATATATAATATACATTATAATATATAACATATAACGTATATCATATATAATATATATTATAATGTACAGTTTAATATATAATATATAATGCACTGCATATTATAATATATATTAGGATTATATTATATATTCATAATATGTAGAAATAATATTTATTCCTATTATATATAGTTATATATTCAAAATATATATTCCATATATAATTGATATATTACACAGATATATAATATGTGTAATATTCCAGAAATATAACTTCCTCTAATGCAGGTCCATGCATTCTGCAGGCACAGTGAAGTTCACACAATTAACAGAAAAAGTGCAGGGTTCATAGTGATTTGAGTTTCACTTTTTTCCAAATAGAGATGGCTCTACTGCTTGCCCCCACCAAAGGAATGAGGTATAAAATGGAGAGGTCTGGTGTTTGTTATATGACTTACAGATGCCCCCTCCCCCACCACGGCCCTGGATACTTTCCTGCAAAGAAAAGTTTCCTCTGGGACTCTTCATTCTCTCGGGTTTGAACCCCAAGAAGCCCTCCATAAGCCCAGCTCCCTTGGCCTGCATCCACAGGCCCAGGGCTGATTTTCTCATCCCTGCTGAGACCCCTGCTCAGAGGAAATGGCTTGTTTGGAGATGGAAGCATTCTTGCTGCATGAGGGAGAAGAGATGGAGTTTGGCCTACAATGCCATGAGTATTCTTGGGTGGTTAATCCCCCCTCCAACATTGTAATCCTGTGGCTGATCTGTGGTTTAGCAGAGAGAGCATTGATTTTCAGAAAAGCAGGCCAGTGTTTGAGTCCTTGCTCTGCCAGTCGTGAGCTGTGTGCCACTGGGAAAGTCACTTCACCTCCTTGCATCACAGTTTTTCCCCTGTGTGTGGAGGGGGACAGGAGGGACATTTACTTTACAAGATATGGCATGGTGCCTGGCATTCTGTACGTGATTTTCTTTCTTTTCCTGAATGAAGGCACAAACTTTTGAAGCATTTTGCAGACATCAGAAGGTACTATTAGGTTTTTCTTTATCAGTGCATTTCAGCCTCATCACCCTCCCACCCCATTCCTGTCTTCCTTCTCTTAACCTCTTCCCCTACCTGTAGCAAGTAGTCTAAACTCCAAATCAGAGCTGCAGGCATTTCCCTGCAAATCTCACTAACAGGTTTAGCATCCCTCCTAAGATTCATAGCAGTCACCAGTGCAGCCTCAGCAATGGAGATGCCTATGGACAGGTCAATTTCTCCATCCCTGCCTCTTCTGATGTCACAGCAGGGTCTTAACATCTAAGCCTGTTAGGGCTGCTACGCACTTACTGTGGAGAAGGAGACTGCAGACTTTTCATGGCTTGGGGTGGGTTATAAATGGGCATCAGCCTCCTGGGGCTGAGCAGGAACCAGTGGGTGGGAGTGTGATGCTGACTCCCTTCACTTCATTTGACCATGGCCATTGTGGGAATCACCACCATCATGCTCACCCTCGCTGCCAGCACCCAGCGCCCTAGTCAGAGCTGTCTCAGGGAGCTAACCCCTAAGACACAGCAACCAAACCTTAAAAAGGACCCCAGACCCACCTTTTTTGGGTAGATTTTGCCCTCTTACAAGTGGAGTGTTTTACATGGAATCTTGAAGGTAGAGGTGGGGGTGGGGCAGGGGGTGGGGGTGGTAAGCGGATAACAGGAGGAGAGAAGGGGTCAGAATAGGCCACAGGAGATTAGGGATTTAATTAAACTGCCTGTTTGGTTAAGGGCTTTTAGGTGCAAAGCTGCTTTGCATGATAATGGCAGTTTAGCTGAATTCCATTCTACTGAAGGAAACTTTTTTTTTTTTTTGAACCTACCCCTCCCAGGAAACTTCTTTTATACTTAATTACTGTGGCTCATAAACCTGGCTTCTCTCTAATGCCCCTCCCCAGGGTAAGCAGGGAAGCTCACCTCTTAGCTTCGGTCATGCTGGCCACTGTCCTGGACAAGCCCCTTGTCATCTATCCCATCCATGAACCAGGAAATATCTAAGTGAGTGGAAGGCCTTTAAGATCACCCAGGAAAGTCAGGTCTCGCTTAAGGGGGCGACCGCTGAAGTCCTTTGATAGGGTTCCCAGCCAGCAGGGGCAACCGAGAATGGCTCCGGCTTAGGTTACTGAAACTTGCCCCGGGGTCTCCGCTCCCAGAAACCCCAAACACCAAACAGGACTAACATTTCCCTGGTAGGTTCCTCCTGCTGAACAGCGTCACTGGACAAGCACAGGTGTGGTCGTTTAAGTGAGCTTGGTAGGGTCTGGACCAGGGGGAGACTCCCTGGCTGACTTGTCTGGGTGGCCTGAGGGTGGAGGAACTGCATCTTTGGTGGTGAAAGTGACTGCTTTTCAGGCAGAAGGACAGCATTCAGTCCTCATCAGGACACAAGGAGTGGATGGAAAGCCTGGTGGGAGGAGCAGAGAGCCCTGATACAGAGAGGGAGAAGCCACAGGAGATGGAGACTCCAGCACACTGGCAGGGTAGGAAAGGGTTAAAGGGTTTGGGAACTCCTGTTTCCAATCACTTGTCAGCCAGCTTTGCTCTCAGCCTTATCAGCAGGGATAGGGCCGCGCCGGGAGAGGCTCTGAGAGCTCTCATTTCCAAGCTCTTCCCAGACTCGGAGCTCTCGGTGTTCTCATTGCCTTCTAAGGGCTCCTGGCTCAGTCTGGGGTGAGGGCCATGGGGAGGGGGCTGGAAACCCAAACACATTTAATGCAGTAGAGTACAAGTTACTAAATACAGCCCGGGGTTGGTGGTGAGGCTGTCGAATCTCAGCAGTAAACCTTCAGAATCCAACTGTCCCTCCTCCTCTCCCCTAGTGCAGGCTATGTCTTCGCTTTCATTCAACTAAAGCTAAAACTCCTCATTGTTTTTCCTTTTTACAGTTACCCCGAGTCAGAAATCTTCATCGTGTATTTGTGCAGTTACTTTTGGAACTCAAGTAAAGGACTTTACATGTCAGGTAAAGATGTCTTGGTAAGACTTGGTAAGATGACCCACGATAGCCTTTTGGGAGACATACAGTTTTTAGTTCTGCCATCTCGTGGTTGCTACCTACCCAGTTTCAACCATTAGGTGATTTGGTAAACCTGCTTTCTGTATCTTCATTCAAGTTATTGGTTTAAGAGACATTGTCTGGGAGAGGGCTGAGGGCAGAACTGTAGGTCATGCCAATACAGACTGTCCCCTAGACCTTGAGATCAACCCATGGTCAGTATTTTTTTGGGTGTGGATACTGTTATTGAACCAGCTACTAATTCCTTCTATTGTGCATCTCTAATCTATAATCCACCAAGGATCCAGAAGGCTGCTATGAGAAAAGGTATTAGGTTGGTGCTAAAGTAATTGCTTACTATCAATGAAAATAATGGCAAAAGTAATTGCTTACTATCAATGAAAATAATGGCAAAAAACTGCAATTACTTTTGCACCAACCTAATAAAAGTTAAAAGCACCTTTCTATAATCCAATACACTTGGTCTCATGAATCTCCCTAATTTGCCATTCTCGTGACCCTGCTAAAGTAGAAAGTAAAGTTGACATGGTATTTTGCAGTAGATTAGAGACGTTATGAATGCAATATAAGCATCATAACCACATTTTTGTAAGGAGCAAGAGTTGCCTGCCAAGAAGAACAGTGGTATGCATGACGGGCATGCCAGGGAGCTGGCTCTTTAAAAAAAGAATTGACCTAGGAAAGAAATGGGGAACAAATAGGGATTTGAGTTCGTCAAGGGCAGGGACTGGGATAGTAGTTTGTAGGAGAGGTGCTAATTATTTGGGGGGGGGCATAGGGTTCTGTCCTGTGACTGCAAGAGTAGATATTGGGCTGGAATGCAGAGTATCCCCTTGTGTACAAGCCACAAGGCCTCAGCTCTCCCAGGTCTGGAAACTCCAGAGGTTCTGAACACCTCAGGCTATTTGCTGCCTCCATGCCTCTGCCCATGCTGCCCCATCTGGAATCCCTTTCCTTGCTATCCACCTGGTGAACATCTGCTCATCCTTCTTTTTCTTTCTTTCTTTTTTTTTTTTGAGACAGAATCTTGGTCTTGCTCTGTCACCCAGGCTGGAGTGCAGTGGCATGATCTCAGCTCACTGCAACCTCTGCCTCCCAGGTTCAAGTGATTCTCCTGCCTCAGCCTCCTGAGTAGCTGGGATTATAGGCCATGTGCCACCATGCCTGGCTAATTTTTGTATTTTTAGTAGAGACAGGATTTCAACATGTTGGTCAGACTGGTCTCAAACTCCTGACCCATGATCTGCCCGCCTCAGCCTCCCAAAGTGCTGTGATCACAGGCGTGAGCCACTGTGCCTGGCTTCATCCTTCCTTTTCATTGCAAGTCTGATATTCTCTAACAAGTCTTCCCTGCCTCCTTCTCCCCTCCAGTTCCAGACTTCTCAGGTAGAGCTCACTACTCCCACTATGATCTTGTGTAGACTTCTGTATTTGCACCAACATCATTTTATTACATGTAGGTTAAGAACACAGAGTTTGAAGTTTGGCAGACTTAGCTATTAGCTGTGACTTTGCCTCTTGCTATAACATCTCTAAATCTCAGTGTCCTCATCTGTAAAGCTGGGGTAATGATAAATACCCACTAGGACTGGGATGAGGAGTCAACAGAAAATGAACACAAAGTACTGTATTCCTTTTTCTTGTATTCCTTTTTTCTCTCTAGAAAAAAATCCAGGAGCTTTGTTTTTCCATATCATTGATAACGCTGCCACCATTTAGTCCAGAGGAAGAGACCTGTTTCTTCTTTGGGGCTTGACCTTTCAGCCTCCTAGCAGTGGTCTGCTTCCACTCTAAGCAATCCAGTCCATACTTCTAGGTTTGTGCACCTAGCTCTTTCATGAAGGTGCAGAGTGACCTGGATGGGACCTATGTACCCTTGAGAGCTTGAAGAGCCAGCTTGTTAGTGCCTTGCTCCTAATTGCAGGCCCTGGCCTCAGGTTCCAGGTGAGGTATGCACACTTTGGGCACACCAGGCTGCTTCTCAAACTCTGATTTGGGTCCCATCTCCACACTCTTCCAGCTGTCTTGTCTCCCTCTAGCACTGTCTTTGGGCTTACATCTTCTTTTCACCTACCTTTTACTCTAGGCTTTCAGATTCTGAGACTTTCAGCTCAAAGTACTTGTCTATTTTTCATATTTTGCACAAAGAGGTAGTACAGATAATAGGTTGAACAGTGGTACCCCCAAATACATGTGAAAGCCCTAACCCCCAGAACCCTGTGAATATGACCTTTTGGATGTGGAATCTTTGAAAATTAGATGACATCCTTAATTTAGGAGGACCCCTAAATTTAAAGACAAGTAGCTTGATAAGAAAAATGAGATATCTGGCACACAAAAGGCCATGTGAAGGGGGAGGTGGAGCTTGGAGTTATGCTGCAACAAGCCAGTACACACCCAGAGTCTTCGGAAGCTGGAAGAGGCAAGGAAAGAATCCCTCCTCCAGCTATGAGGAAGCATGGCCCTGGCCATCCCTTAACCTGACTTCTGGCCTCAACACTAATGGACTAAATTATTTTAAGCCACCCATTTTGTGGCAATTTAGCAGCCACAGGAAACAAACACAGGTAGTAACTGGCAAAGCATCTATATCTGTCCTTCCACCCAGAACACCTGACCAGGTAGAAGGAACTGTGGTCTTTGAAAGACATGCATGAAAGCCTGACGCAAGGGCTGGTGTGAGTTCAATGCAGTCTGAAGACTGATTCCAGGAAACTGAGTTTGGAAACAAGTGAAACCAGGAAGGAGGGAGGGGCATCCAGAATGAGCATGTGTGATGTAGCAAGCTTGTTACTGCCGTGGGCAAGGGAGACGTGTTGTTGCACGGATTCTCCGGGAGCTGTAGCAGTCCCACCGCCACCCCAGAACTGTCTATGCAAGGGTCAGAAGAGGGGACTATTTACTTCCTGGCTCCTTTCCCTTGTTGGTCAAGTCACCTCATTGGACAGGAACTACTCATTGCTTGTGCTGCTTTCAGTTTTGCCTGCAAAAGTCGGAAGTGAGAGAAGGCCCTGGGCAGTGTGAGATGTGCGGAGCCAGTGCTGGAGCTGGTATGACAGCTGCGGCTGGAGTGCAGTTGGGCTGGGAGGACCCAGGCAGGCCACCAGAAGTGTGACCTACAGTGCCGAAAGATGTGTCATTAGACTTGGATTGCAGTCTGTAACTTCAGGGAAGTGCCCTCAAAACCATCAGCATGCTTAATTTATAACTGCTCATCTGGCTTCCCAGATCTGATGAAGGTTTGATAGGAATGAATATGAAAGTGTTTCATAAACTATAAAACACTAATGAATACCAACCAGTATTTCCCATTGTATACAATCCGCCCAAACTGTGGGAGCCTGTTTCTTCAAGTCTCAGTCCCCATGCTCCACTTCTCCCTGCCTCATTCCTGGTCAGATCTTATAACATCTCCACCCAGTGTCTTACCCAGACTAGCTGCAGTTGCAGGCTAAGGGGCAATTAAGCATCTCAGAAGATGCTGCCCAGTGGAGGAACTTGGAAGGGGGAGAATGGTCTCCCCAGATACAGAAGGAACTCGCTCTCCAAAGATCCTTTTCTTCCTGTAAAAAAATTGCTGCACGGCGAATTACCCTCAAATTTAGTGAGGTAAACCAACAGTAAACACCGTCTCCTGCCTGTGAGTCAGGAATTTGGGAGCAGCTTAGCTGGGTGGTTCTGCCTTGAGGTTTCTCATGAGGATGCAGTTGAGATGTTAGCTGGGACTACAGTCATCTGAAGGCTTGTCTGAGGCAGGAAGTACTGTTTCCAAGATGGCTCAGTCACGTGGCTATGGGCAGATGGTTTCAATTCCTCCCTGGCTATTGGTGGGTAGCCTCAGTTCCTCTCCATGTGGACCTTCCCACAGGGTAGGGCTTCCTGAGAGTCTTCACCATACGGCATCTGGAGTCCCCTAGAGTGAATGATCCAAGAGAGAGCAAGGTGGAAGCTGCATTGTCATTTATGTCCTGGCCTCAGGAGCCATGGACTGTTAATTCCATAGATCCTATTATTTATACTAGCCCTAGTCAATGTGGAAAGGGGCTACACAAGCATGTGAATTTCAGGAGAAGATCACTGTGGGCTATCTTAGAGGCTGTCTACCAAAACTACTTAGCTCAATGTTTGTCAAAAGTATATCATATGCAGGGTGCAGTGGTATGTGCCTATAGTCCCAGCCACTCAGGAGGCTGAGGCAGGAGGGTTGCTTGAGCTGAGCAGTTTGAGGCTATATTGAGCTATGATCATGCCTGTGTATGGCCATTGCTCTCCAGCTTGGGTAACATAGAGAGATGTTGTCTCTAAAAGAAAAAGCATATCATAAGGGCTTAATAAATAGTAGCTGCAATTATTATTAATTCATACATTTGTAGTCCCTGATAGAAAATAATAAACCCCTTGAGGGCATAGATCATATCTTAGTCTTGTTTGTACCTCAAGATTCTAGAATAGTGTCAAGCATACTGGTAGGTCCATACCAAATGCTGATAGGGAATATGTGAATGAAGGCTTAGAGAGGGCTAGTCTGGTGGCAGGCTCAGAGTAAATGGGGAGAGAATTCACACCCAGATGTTAAATAGGATTCTGTAATTCAGGTGCTTATCTAGAATTACCAAAGTGTGTAGAACCAAGACTCTAGAGTTCCCACACTTGAGTACCAAGGACGCTTGATATCAAAACAATAGGCTGGGCAAGGGTAGCTCTTATGATTCTCTTTTGGAAACAAGCCCCAAGCACCAATTTGGTAGGGAGAAATGGTCCCCACCCCATGATCTAAAGAGTGACCCCACTGATGTTTAACTCTCTGGGCCAAGGCAGACATGGAAAGCTCTTGATATTTTTGTCATACTCAAACGCCTATCTGGATGACACCTCTGTCCTCCTACTGGACAGAACAATTTCCCTTTCTTTCTAAGAGAGACTGATGCACATTTCTTAGAGTTAAT